CGTGGATATATTTATGGTTAATTCTATAGCTTACATATTTATATTGTGTATGTTGTAATGCGAAATAATAAAATGATTTTAATATGTGTGTGTATTTTATTTGTTACAGATTGCAGTGCGATTCACGCGTCGTGTCGGGAGTGCCGTGTAAAGTGTCGGGCGATCGTAATTATTCGTGTTTTTGTGAGTGTCGTGAGTGCTACGAAGGACCAAGAGAGGAGGAGGAGGCCCAGGTAGGCATCGGGCAACAGCGAGTCAACTGTGAGGTATGTAAAATAAAAATATTTTTTTCTAAACTGCATTCTTTATGAAATATTCAATCATTTCCAGATTTTTAAAACTTGCATAAACATTCATACATATACACATTATGTATATATACACACATATACATATGTATATACATTATTTGAATATTTTATTTTCAGATCAATGTGCTGTGCACTGAAAATCCGCTGCTGCATGTATCGGTGAGTGAGAAATTATTTATTTTATAACATTTCTATAAATGATAATAGGAATATGTGAAGAGTCTCATTTCGTGGAAATAATTAAGAGGTGGGAATAATAAATAATTAAGAATTCTAGCTTTATTTTCATTAGTTCTAGAGTTTTTGATATTAATTTAAACAAATAGTTTGTGCAATTAAATCAAAGAAAATGGCTAAGAACAAATCGATATACTATAATTTCACGCAGCCTATTACTTTGCCCTACATTTTCCTTATCAATAATAATTGTTCAAATTTAAAAGATTTATAGTTCTACAAGAATTTTAAGAAGAGTCTTGCCTTCTAAGAATAAAAAATATTAATTAAAATTAAATTCAAATCTTTTATACTTGAATAAGTATATCGAAGTAAAACGTCGTTCGCGATTTTCGACAATTCTATTTATTATGAAATAATTTTGGTATATTTCTGAGCATGTACAATGTACATATCTTTCTAAAGAGTTCTGATGATAGGAATAATTTGAAAATTTTATAAACAAATATTTTATTTGAAAAACTTAGTTTGAATATAGAAGTGAACTGTTGGTTTCGAGAATTCTACTCTCTATTATGACATAGTTCTCGTATGGACATGTACAATGCCTTTCCAATTAAAAAAAAATTTCTAATTATTTTCATCATCAGACCTATTTATGATCTTTCACGAAATGATATATATGTTAGCTTCACACACCTTATAAGTTTAGCCGTAATTAGAATTTGATAGTAATATAAAAAAATATATTGAAAACTTTATAAGTTAATAAATATCTTTATTTAGATCATAGGAATATTTAATAAAATCATAAATTATATATTGAAAAAATATATTTTTTAGTAAAATATATATACAATATAATATTGTTGTATTATTACTAAACAAAATTAGATCACGATTATTCGCGTTAGTAATTATGATTCGGATAAATTAACATGTAATAATTATGATAAATTATTGTTCTACTGACATTATACATATGATTTATTCTGAAAAATCTTATTTAACGCAAAAATAAAAATTTAAGATATATTTTTTATATTATTATACTATTTATATTTCTTATGTGCTCTCTCTCGTCATCTATATATTATATATAGGTACCTATGTAATTTTTTTTTAAGAAATAAAAAATATAAATGATAATAAGAGATTTATAGCTTAAATATTTTAAATTGTTTTTACATTAAAGGATTAAAAAAAATCCGAACACGAAAATTTTTCAATATTTCAAATAATTATGTATATGCAGTTAATATACAATATACAATAGAAGACTCAGATCACTCCTATTGACCGCTTTAATTAATATGTCGTGTCAGGTTAATAATTCCGTCTTGTAGTTACCCAACTATTGTATTGATCGAGAAGGCACAGGGGAAGAGGGCAGGATAAGATGTCCTGTGAGTATCGTTAATGGGGATCAGGTGCATTCAGTGCTCGTTCATCATTGAATTCATGTAACCCCACGAATCCCTTGAAAGATGCACACACATTTGCGCGCGCATAAGCCATACATATAGATTACATGCATGCATACTTATTGTATATGACAGGATTACGGAAAATGTCGCGATGTGCGATATTAAATTTAACCTTGTCACATTCACGATCGTGCAAGAGATTTTTTATTCGGCTTTCTTCGAACGGGGTATCTTTCATACTTTAGTGTGTCTTTCAAATTGTCTTTTTTATCTCTCTCTCTGAAAAGACTATATCTCGTCACAAATTGTGTGATATAAAATTTTTTCTAACTAAAATGGTCAAACTTAAAATTAGGTCAAATTAGATTGTAATAAAAATATAAATGCATGAAATAAAGGAATAAATATTTGAAGAATAAAAATAAATTTCTTTTAAAAGAAAAATTTACTTATCGATAACTGAAATGTTGATTTTAAGTATACGACTCTATTCTTTCCCGATTTTTTTTTTCATTTAAAATAGGGCATATTTTCAGGCTATTGTAAAAAGAAAGAATATAAATAGGAAGTTTAGAAAGATATGGAGAGATCCGCATTTGAAAAGCATAAATTCAATGGAACGAGAAGAGTAGACTCAATAAAGTGAGCGAGAGAGAAAGAGAGTTATATGTTTTCATTTGCATCTGCATTTTATCCACCACAGACTTATCTTTTTTCACATCGACTTTATGAATTTTCTGGACGACGTTACACTGTGACACTCTTTGTTCAGCGTCATCAGGCGACCCAGCAAATAATCGCTCGGTCTTGAAGGAGGACACGTAATTCTATATTTGCATTTTCATGGTCGTCCATTTTAGTAGGATCGATTCTCGCGTGTTACGGGAGAGAACATCGTTTATCTTGTCTATTTAACAAATCGCTCTTACCATTTTCGAGTGCACTGTGCGATTCCGGCAGTGTGTGTCACCGCATACCCGGTTCGCCAACGCACGAAGTCGGGCCCTCTGTTGAGTGGGTGTGTGAAAGACAGGGACGAACGAGGACATTAGTGTACCCGGGATTTTTTAAGGATTTTTTTCATGATTTATATAATATATTTGTGTATATACACTTTATATATAACATTTTTAAATAATATTAAGTTTTAAGGTAAAAATTGGAATAATTTATATTGACGTGCAATAATAGTAATATTTTTAATCTAGTTATCTAGTTTTTTGAAAAAGAGACATCTGTGAAAATTTATAATTTCAAAAATGAATTATCCAAATTACAGTGTAATTTAAAAATACAAGATAGGAGGTGAGAAAAGATTGTACAATTAATATTAATGTATATTAACGTATTTAAAGCAACAAGAAATAAATTAAGCAAGGCTAAGAGAAGAATGGAATCTTTGACAGTGTGAACCGTAATTTTGCAAGAGAGATCGAGAGATAAAAGTGACGAATAAGTCCGCTCCTTTACTCTACTCCCTGGATACTCCGATATTTCTTCCGTCTCTCTTTACCTTTTTTTGAATTATATAAAAGGATCCCGTTTTATAGAAGGATAGTATTTTTGCATCGAAATTACTTTTACAGTTAAAATACGGAAACTTCGAACTTGTAAATGTTTTTTTTTTCTAATATGTAAGTATGAAAAAAGACACGACGCGGAAAAAAAACGGAAATTCTTGAAAGATCGTCAAAAGGGATATATGTGTGTGCGGGTATAGTTTTATTCGTACATGCTTTTCTTTGAATTTGATTAATTTTAATAATATTTAGTACTCAACCTAGATTTCGTTATTCACAAAAGCCACAATTATTTTCAAAAGCTGTAGAATTGAAAAACCGCGCTGAAAAACCATTCAACTTTTGCAGCGCAATTCTTTTCTGTATATGATTCTGATAATTATATATGACGTCCTATATTCGCCGCTTTTTATTCGACTATAATTTTCTCGATAAAAGCGTTGTTTTTTTAATTTAATTTTCGATATTATATTTCTAAATAAAATTCTCAAAATTTTTAGATACAATTTTTCGAGATTTTTATGATAAAGAAATTTGTTATACGTTTAATTTTTCAATTTTTGTAACTTTAAATTATTCATTAAATTTCGATGCCTCAACATTGGAACAAATGTCATTCTTCTCAGCTTAACTAAACTTAGATTAGAAGGCAGCTGATGAGTCTGGGATACCATGCATATAAATTAGCTGCATAATTTCGAGATCTGACGTACTTTTGAGAGAGCACTAGTCTAAATGTTAAAATTCAAAAATTTCATGTTAATAATTTATCCTCAAAATTCACATGATAATAAAAAAACGTAAGTGATTAATTCAATATACCAAGTCAATAAATCATTAGTTCCATAAGATTGAGAGGTACAAATTTTAAAGTTTACTAAATATATAGGTATATAAATACAATTAGTTTTTATCTGGTTATTGTGCAACTAGAAATATGATAATATGTAATGATACATGTTTAATAATAACAATGCAATAGATATAAATTAATAATGTCAGAATAGATACAAGTAAATAGTAAATAAATACATGATTGAGAGAATTATTAGGTACATTTCACAAATAACTATATTGAAGATAATCTATTACGAATAATTATGAATTATCTGTTTAATAATTATTATGAATCTTATTTAATAATACTTTTTATTTAAATTTTATTTTATATTTCAAGTAATAACTATATATATATTGCGCTAAACAGATTACTGACAAATATAAAATAAATTATTTATAAAATAAATATAAAATAAATTATTTAATCCTCGGAAGAAGCAACACACATTTGGCGCAAAATCCATTTATTTGCGACAATTGAAAATTGAAGTTTACATTTATAGACAGCTTCTATAAAGCAATATAGATATGAAAAGAAAAGAGAATTGGGTTTTTAAATTCATCTTTTCCAGAAGAATTTTTTCTTGTTTCTCTCTCTTTGTTTTTCTCGTCGAGTTGATCGGTAGCGGGACAAGGATAGATTCTGGGAGTGGGAAAGTGCAGTGTGAAAGGGAAGGGGCCACAGAGCGGGCCCTCGAAGGAGACGGGCGTCAGTCGCGCGGCACGCGGCGCACTGTTCACACGTGGCTGTCGCTCCTTCTCTCTTGCCGAAAAGGGTGCGCGAGTGCTTATTCGCGACCCTCCTGTGGGATTAAACGCGATTGACCTCACTACCGAGAACAGGAAATGACGTCGTCGTCGCGGAGATGATAGCGCGAATCGCACCGTTTGCAGCATTGTACGTCTTCGAGCTTTGTCCGAAACGATTTCCCCGAATGCAATTGCAACGTCGTCGAGTGTGGCTATACTAGTATACCGACATGTCAATATTACGACGAAGAATCCGTTTCTTTAACGCACAGTGTATATTTTGGTTGTTGCATCGAAAAATTGTTTTTTTTTTTAATATAGTGTGAATTATTAATACAAATTTGAATTTTTAGACCTTTTGACGTGTTTACATGATCGTAAGATAAAAATTGCACAAGAATAATAAATAAATAATATTCGTATAGACTTATATAACAATTTAAGTGAACACGTGTGATAAAATATTTGAATTTTACAAATAAATAAATCTTTTGTAAAAAAAAAAAGGACATGGATAATCTTTGATGAGAATAAACGTTGCCTTTGCATCGGGATCATAAATTAAGATTATGAGAAATAAAGAAATCGTGTGCTTTGTGTACATGTGCATACTATGTAAACGCATGGCAGAAGGACGGAAATGTGTTGAATTTTTTGTGCGCGATATCAGTGTATATGTGCGAATAGGAGCATATGACATTCAAATTTGAGATTGATCTTTTTTTTTTGTTTTGCGATGGACGAAGAGACATGTTGCGTATTTTGCTGTGTCACGTTTTAAAACTGTTGGACAAAAACTGATTTTAACTTCCACAAAGCAAAAATAGTTTGTTGATAAAAAGAGTTTAGCCTTTATTAATTCTCAAAAATAATTGCTAACGTAATTTTCGAATGTGGAATAGAATTTTGTTTGAAACTTCGCGAATGTAATAAATAAAAATTTGTTTCACAGATTAAATAATATAAAAAAAATTTAGGAAAAAATATACGTATAAATCTATCTTTTACGTATAAATCTATCTATTTTTTCATAATACAATTATATTAATATTAAAGATAAAATTAAGAGATCAAAGATACACGTACATGTGTGTATATGTGTGTGTATAAAATGTGTATAAAAGAATCGATAATTGTTGTAAATTAAAAGTGTAAACTTGCAGAATTAAATTCTACATATTCAACAAACTGTAAAATTTCGTGATTAATTTTAAATCTGTATAATTATTCTCCGCTTTAATATAATTACGATTTTGAATGTCATTTCAAAGATATTAATTAAAAATTTACATGGAACAATTGCGAATTCTATTGTCGAATTATATTATTAGTGAAATCAGTTTGATCGAAACAAGCAATAAATAATTTTTAATCGTCAAATCACAGATTTAAACTATAAATAATCGAATAATTTTAATACGAGATGTGTGTCGCAAGAAATTGCTTGATATATTTATTATAAAGTTTTAATGAAAAAAATCTCTTTTTTACTTTCAGTAAAGTTATGTTGTAACGGTATATTCGATATATAACGCCTACCGGCGCCTACGAATGAATCGTCAGGGTAGATCGATTTAGACGTGATTAGCATATCTGGTGAATTATTTACATTAGTATGCGTTGCGGAAAATCCTCTGAGTGCTATCCAGGTTGATTCATGTTGTAAGGTATACACAACATATTTCACCTTCTAGATTCAAGAAATGGATGCATTTTTAATGCAGACAAATAGATAGTCCAGTAGCAACGACGATCTATACCACAGTACTGTATTGCAGCTTTTCAGACTATTTCCCTGCAGAGCGGGGACATATTTTCTTTTCTTGATCTCTCTATGAATATATAAACGAAATATATTTTATATAAGAAAACAAAAATGTGAGAAAACATAAAAACAAATTTGTTTTTATGTTTTCTTACATTTTTAAATGTGAAAATAATATATATTGTGAAATTAAATTGTTTATTCTTACTAATTCACTTTTGTTAAAAAAATAAAAATTATGAAAGAAAATTAACTTTTTAAGCATTATCTCGCAGTTTTTCAAAACAGATTATGTAATGCAACTCGTTTAGAGGCTATTTTTACGTTTGCCAAATTATTCTTTGGAAATTGCTCCAAAATATGTTTATAAATAACATCATAAATTACTAGAGAAGAGAGCGGAGGAGAGAGACCTTCGCGATTCAGAAAATATCTGCACAAGTGGGCAGTAATGGCTCTATGTCCGTCTCTTTTTCTTCCGTTCCCTTTTCTGTCCATTTTTTTTTTCAACTTTTTTTCTTTTGAGAAATGCGAGAGATTTCAAAACATGCGATCCCGAAAGCATGCATATAGATTTTCTCGACATGTAAGCGAGATACGAGAACACATCGCAAAAAAGAGTGCGTCGATTCGATTTTGAACAATAACAAAATTCGATTATTAGATTATATTTTTGGTTCCATTTGTATATAAATTGTTTTAATATTGATTTTTTAATGCTTGTTATTCGAAAATTATACGGTTGCAATATAAAAAAGCAATTGAGCGTTTTTTAAATAATGGCTAAATTTGAGAGAAGCTTGATAAAGAAAATTATATTTTTTAAAAACATCCTTGTTTCTTTTTTCTGCTATTTATTTTATACGTTTTACACTGTATCTCGCTCTTTGACCATGCTGTTTGTTTTATCACATGCATTCTTATGTTGTGATTGCACGCGTAGTTAAATAATTGAATATTATCTGATTTACGCAGAGAATTATTCGGAAGACTATTTCGTCATTTCCTCTGGAATTATTCCGTTGGAAATTAATTATGCACTAGTTTTTCTCTAATTTATATTTCAACAATCGCGTCTCTTAAATATTTCATTCTTTATTATTTTGTTTGATGTTTCGCACAGAATTCTATTCAAGTTTTATGATCAAATGTGATTGAATTAAAAAAATGTGTTAAATATCTTTTTTTATTTTTGATTTAAATATTATTAAAGAAATTAGAGAATAGTAATTTATTTAACTTAATTAATTCTTGTTTTATTTTTATTTAATTCTGCAAATCAAATTGTTATTTTATTTTATTAATATTTTACTTAATTTATATTGTATTTTTTCATCAAATTAAGTAAGATATTTTCGAAAAATAATTTTTTTTTTTCGTATAAATTTTGAGCTCTTTTGCAAAATAGTGTCTAATTACCAACTTCTAAGATTTTGTGTGGTATTAAAGTGGTATTAAAGTGAAAATAAGATTTAGAGCTGACGATTGAAAGGCTACTCAAACAAAAGTATTGCTATCTCTTAGGGTCTTCGACCGATTCTTTTTCTTTGATTCCGCGCTTTTATCGGTTGTGTTTACTACGGAAAGAAAGAAAGAAAGACTTACGTGTCAATGCCCCGATAGTGAGATAGCGCAGTCCACTTGATTGCTTCACCTGTATTTTTTAATTTAATATCTTTAGGAAATTCGTTCAACTGAAATTATCTTCAATTTTTCTAATTAAAAAGGAATATTAATTTTTCAATTTCTTACAGTTTTTATCTATAAAACTTTTGCTTAAGTTTGAGACAATTTCTTCTTAATGGAAAGGAATCGAAATTTTCGAATTTATTTTTATATTATTTTTAAGGTAGAGAAGAGAGATAGAAAGGGCAAAACATAGTTTGCCCCTAGTTTCTCGAAAATGTTCATTTTCTAGAGAGATTCTTGAAGAATCTTCGTGATCGCGTAATTATATCCAAAATTGAATTCGTTTGTTCTGTCGAGAGATCAATTCGGGAGACGAGAAAAATCGTTGTTAAGGACACGAGATGAAAACGCCAAGTATGTCGCAGGCGGGCAAGCAACCATGCGGTAAAGAATGCCGGTGATTATCGAGACACGAGACGACGAAACGAGGTCAGTCCGTTCGCGTTGGCACGTTCCCCGGCGATAACGATCCTCTCGTTCTTTCGGCCCCGCATGTTGATCTCCTTCCGGTTTCCGGTCGCACCAGTCCGATCGGCTTCCCATTATCTCATGTCCTCGTTCCCGTCATTTTTCCAGCCATCGAATGATGACGATACTATACGTTTCGATCCCGACCTTTTTCGCTCAATCAGCTGATCGTATTCTTTTCACGTGTTTTCACGCGTTTTTCATAAATGTGAACCTTCGCGGTTTAATATACGCGCGCGTTAATCTATTTCTTATATAATTTATTATACGAATAAGAAACATAAGCATTGTACAATTCGATACATCGTATTCAAGAAAAATAATTTTACATTTAATTTAACATATTTAATATTGACATTTATATAATAATTCAATATAAAACAAGTACTGTCTTTATTTTTATATACATATTACATTTTATATGTTATAATTCAAATATATATTATTATTAGTATTAAATTATATATTGTACATCTCTCAAGTAGTTGTTAAAAAATTATAGCACGAGAGAAATGTTTTTGTAATATTTTAAATATCTCTAAAAATTTAGTATTACATAATATTTTATATATTTTTCCGTGTATTGATTTTACTGAATTTAACGTTAAAAGATAGGAAAAATAAATAAATTAATTACTTGCTGAAATTTTTATCTCTCTTAATTGTTAAAATTTTTATTTCTGCTTTAAACTTTAAATCCGAAAGACAAAATGGAGCGAATAAAATTCTCATCAGACGTGCGACTTTATCCGGTGTAAGACAAAATTTAATTATGTTTCCCTGAATTCTATTATCTACTTCCGACCGTCTGTTTAATATTCTTCCGAGGACTCGTTCAGTTTATCCTTGAATACGATGTAAGGGTTTTGAAATTCTTAATTTGGAAAACATGTGCGCGCGTGTTGCTTCAATACGAGAATAAACTCTTTTTCTCTTCCTTCTCTCTTTTTATTAATACATATCACGTATTGAGTAGATACGTATTGAGTTTCTTTTTCTGGATTATATCGGTATTGAGTTTTTCTATTTCTGGATTAAATTTAAGATTATTTGATAAATTTTATATGATTGAATTTTAGCAAACTGTTTTTTTAACATTTCATTTTTTCCTTTTTAATTTTCTGTCTTTTAATATTAATTGTCTTGATAACTATCATCAATATAAAAATATATATTAATATAGTTTTATTAAGACATTTGATATATTGTATAAATTGAACAAAAATATTTTGTCTTTGTAATTTAAACAACTCTTTTGGAACACTTTTTACATGCTGATTTATACTTTACATATTGATCACTTTCGTAAACATGTCGTATACACCCGCTATATGGTGATTCATAAAAATTCATGACATTCCCTCGATCATGGTTGAAATTCTTGGTCCCTTCTTCTACTGTCTCCTATATTTCTCAAAAGTGACGAGAAATCCGGGCTCTTCGGGATCATTAAGTTAGGCAGTCGTTTATCGTACCGAATACAAAAGAGCACTGTTTCGCGCGAGTCGTCGAATGGTTCTTCTGAAACGTACTTGGAACTAAAGGGCCCAATGAAGTTTGCATGCTTTTTGTCCCCTCTTCTCAGACAGTTTCTGTCGGGGATAAATCTCGATTCGTGGTCTTCCGACTGCGATATTAAACTAATATTCTTCTCTCGCTTTCTCTCTCCTCTCTTCCTCGTTGTGCAATAATGAATCTTTAAGTATTCGATATTTCGCGTGGTTTCATAATTACCAATTTATTTTATAATTAGATTGGATTTTAATTACGGATGTTACAAATTTTTAATTTCAAATATAATCAAGCTATTTTAATCTAAACGCGTCTGGGTAAACTAACGTGTTTTCACAGCTTCAAGTTTCTGCTTGAAAAATACAGTTTAAAAACGTCACACAATTTTATACACTCTTCTAAAATCTAATAAAATTTCAAACTGGCATTAGGGCGTGTATATTTATGGATATTCAGTAAAAAAATTAGAAAGTAAATCTGATGTATATTTTTGACGCTTACAATTTTTTTTTTATGAACAAATATTATGTTAAAGGTCGGCGGATGGACGTGCCAGCCGCTGGAAAGCCCGAATCCGGAGGAAAGTACGAAGAAGCCGGTAATCATCATCGTCATCGTCGTCATCGTCGCAAGCGGCGCAGGAGAGCAACTGAGTTGACAAAGGTCGGCCGATTCGCGAAAAGGAAAAAGGAAAGAAAGAAGCGTGGGGCAAGCAAGTAAGTAAGCAACGACACGATCATTAGTTAATCATCGTGTTGCGGTCACTCGAGGCGAACGAAGAAGAGGAAGAAGAAGAAGTGGGAAAAAAGGAAGCAGGAGGCGCACCCATCGGTGGGAGAGACGATCAGTGAAGGAGAAAAGTCTCAGTTTGTCACTGGAGACGTAGACGACGTCCGGTTACGTGAATGCATCGTTCGCAGATTTAGCAAGAGTGATTGCTACTTGCACATGATAGACGCTAATCTCGATCGAGGAGACGCGAATATCGCTCTTCCTTTTTTTATACTTTATACCTTATGAAGATATCTTGAAGAGGCCGACAAGTAATATTTTGAATATTTCGCGTTTTGCGAATAACTTGAGGAGATTATCTGACGATTGAAGGAATTCAATGGGATTCCTGTTCTAGCTATCCTATGCTTTGATCGTCCTGAACGGATTCTCCGAATCACTCATTCGGGTGGAATCTTCATTCCCACTGCCTCGTGTTTCGCGGGTTGAAGATCCTGAAGAGACTCGAGAGACTAGCCGGCGGAATCTCGATCTGTTCTACTTCGCGTGCACTTCGATTATTCTGAAGAGACTCCAAATCCTTGGTGGAATCTTCATCTATCGCTACTTTAAATATTCCGAAGAGATTCGAAGTGTATTCGCGGTATGTGATCTCGTCGATAATTCGACTTTGACAATGACAGTGCCTCCTTTCGTCTCTTTTAATCGTTATCGGGTTCGCGAATTCGCGTGAAACTCTCGGTCGCGAAGAACGACTTTCGCGAGTGTTGTATCAGTGTTGCATCTTCATTCTCGAGGAAGCTGGTCTGATGCGCTCCGTTACGAAGATGATACGTCACGTCATCATCGCTGTCTTACTTGCCGTGCTCGTCAAGGGAGCACCGAAATCATCGATCATTTACGCGGACGACACAGTGGTGAGTGATATTATTATATCTATTTAGATTGCATCTTGATAAAGCGAGAATTAAACATTCTTGGCGACTTTGTCGCTCGCGATGAAATATCCAGTCTATTTATTTTTACCCGAATAATAAATGATTATTATTCCTGAAAAATGAATAAGCTATCATCGAGAAAATTGTTGAAGATTATTGAGAAATTTCAATAATAAAAATATAAATCTTTCTTTGAATACAAATATAAATCAGTATTTTTTATCGATTTGTATTTCTCATGTTTTATTATGGCAGCGATATTTTTTATTATATTTTTTTATCATCAATTTATTAAAGATAATATATTTTATTAAATGATTTTATTAAAAGATAATGATTTATGAAAAATAATAATTTTAAAATAAATAAGATAAATGTTTGAATTATTATATATAAATTAGTTTTTTTGTCGCAAAATTATTAAATATTATTTTACAAAGAATTTATATAAATTTTTTTTATATTTTTGTTTATTTTTAATTTAATAGACGCGTAATTCTCGTTTATATTTTGCTGTTGAAAAGGATTTTTTATTCGGTAATATGAATATATTAAACATTTCGCTATATTGAATTACAAACTATCATTCTGCACTGTTGGATATTTCACAATCGCGAACCATCAAGCTACACAATCCCGAGATCAATTATAACTATGTCATACACGTGGTGATTATGCCGTGTTCTGGAATAATTTAAACGGAACTCGTGCGAATAATTAATCGATTATTACTCACGAAACCCAGGTGAGTCATATATTGTCAAAAGATTTGCCCGTACATGAACATATATCAATTTCATTAACATCATTATAAAGTCATATTTATATGTATGTATATATTAGCATTATATGCATATACAATAGTATGTAACAACAGAGATTTATTAGATTCTATTTTATTCTATAATGATATTTGAATTATATAGAATAATATTTCGTAGAAGTAGTTGCAACTATTTATATATTTTTCTAATTTTCGATTTTTGAGAAATTATTATAAAATCATATACAAGGTATGTATATCAAAGATTGATCAAAGATACATCGTGCACAATTAATTTAAATAAGTAGGAATATTACACTCGTACAATTTGTATTTCTATATTAATTTTACAATGCAAGAAATCAAATTTTTATTCACACGGTCTATTCATACGCTTGTAAGTCATTTCAACGAGCGATTTTCGTAATATATTAAGATAATGGAACATTACAACGCGGCAAAAACTATAGAACTGTCCCTGATAGAACCGCAAAGCCCACAGGGAGTCCCAGACTCTATCGCGGGGATATCCCATACACTCATACATACAGCTGTACAACACCGCAGTCGGCTTTACGAGCTTCTGCTTGATATTAAGTGCCTTATGAATACGAGCACACTATGAAGCACCGTCCGCGTGCGTGTAGCTTTACGAATTAATATGATCGATGCCCGCAGATAAGCGAGGTTAAAGGGATATGACCGTTTTCTTCAGCTAAGGACTAAAACACTCAGAATAATCTATTCTTCACGCCTAAAATAAAGGAATACAAAAGATATTGCAGTTTATCTGAATGTATAGATGTATATATCGATATCTTGAATTCTAAAGAAGCAAATCTTTTTGTTCGTTAACAAATCACAAAGTATCACCATTTAACATATATTTATAAATTCTTTATATTTGCGTTTAGAGTTATATTTAATTCCAAACAGATGAGTAATTTATATGTTTTATTTTCTTTTGAACAATTTATAATTAAAAAAAACATATTTATTTTTTTATAAAAATTTATGAATTCAAATTATTATTCTACATGAACGATTGAAAACTGGACGTTTATTTTGTTTTTGGAATATTGCAGCTTACAAATTTATTTTATTTTAATAAAAATTTTAATTAAAAGAGAGTTTTAATAGGAATCAATTTTAATAATCGAAATATTTGATACGAATAAAATAACTATAAAAATAATGATATATCTCGTGAAATCTTTCCGAAGAAAAAAGTTAATCGCAATTTCATAGAAAATATATATATTATAATTAGCATATATGATGCGTATTAATTAAGGTGACAATAATTCTTTTAATGATTATGCAAAAAAATCCCTATATAATCACGAAATTCAGTTCACTCCGATACGAAATAAATTTAATGTCACAACGCTATTGACTACTCCGATACTGCAATTCTCTAAAATCGCTTGTCTGCTAGATATCGCGCTATTGAATACATCTAATATCCCGACCAGAGCACGATTTCGGCGCACCAAATTTGACCCGCGCGATATTGTCGAAACTCACTTCCGAAACTCGCTTCTGAAACTCGCCATTACATCTGAATCCCGGTGGATTCCAATATCCGCGGCTCCATTATTCTTCGCCGTCGAAACACGGGCTAAATTGCTCCCTGAATGACGTTCTGCAGGAAAAGCTAATCCTGCATCACGGTCGCGAAATGCAACCTAATCCAAATGTATATGCGCAAAATAATCGATTATACAATTTACGAAAAGTCAAGTAAAGTCAAATAATTGAAGCTCTCAAATAAACTTTTAAAAATTGAAAAATATATGAAAAATACAAACATATAATAAACATATTCAGGATTATTAAATGAAATATAGTAGAAATATAAATTCACGCGAGAAAGTACAAATTCCATTTTACAGTAATTTTATGCGAAATTATTTTTTTTTCTCTCTAGTTCTAACATAGCAAGTAATGACTGCATTCGTGTAGTTATCGGGTCACACTAAAACAAGGATAATTTCGTACGATAATCGTTCTTTAATGACTTTGCTCAATGGAGGATGGTTTTTAATCGAATTTAATTATATTTCCTTGCGAATGGGCGAGAGAGCAGGAGAGGAGACACATTGGCAATGCAGAAGTAGGATTCTCTGTCGCAAAAGTTGGTCGCTTGGGAATTAATGGTACGCTGCGTTCCGCGGTATTAACTTTTTCCGTGTGGTTTCATGCACAGCTTTATTGTACTAATGACTGCCAGGAGAGAACGAGCTTACACCCGCCACGTATATAACAAGTATATTTCCCTTTCCGGCGCACATAAAAATTTTCTCCATTTTCGCTTCGTGTATTTTTCATCGCGGAATCATTAATCTGATTGGCATTTCGTATACGTAATGGCTTACATTTGCGTCTATGGAATAATTATTTGATCAAACTGCAGATGAAACGTTTGAATTTTCAGTTGCACCGAGCGGCCCCAACAGAGAAAATTTAATACGCCAAGGAAATTCTTTGTTCAAAGCGAAGAGCCAACCAGAGGAACGTAATATGTCGCGACAAGTTAACGTAGGTCGGCAAAGAGAGTCGGAATTAATTGCACTCTGTAACGCCTTACAGCCTTATTACACCGAGCGTTTTTTTTCTTCGCGGAAGGAAGGTATAGCACATACCACATAGTTATATTTTTTGCTTTTATTTCGAACTGTCTAACGTAATTTACCTACGTAACACGTATCTCTCAATCTTTCTTTTTAACCATAATTATAATGTATTTTAATTTTTATTTTGCGCGTAAAAAGAAACTCTATAAAGAGAAACACGCACATATGGATTTTCTCGAACACTGACTCTGATTATAATTGAAAATACACCTTTATCATTAGTTCAGATTACATTAGTACGTGTCCATTATACATACATTCATGATAGACGTATGATTAAACTCCGGGAAATGGGAATACGTCGTGTTAATAATAGGTGGTGATTATTGTAATAAGCTCAACAGCAAATTAGGACAGTGTTGTCAAAATTATGATAACTATAGTCATCAAAATTAGATGTTCTCTTGCTTTGCATTATAATATATCGATTGTGACAAAATATAATAACATATTATATAATTTTTCTGCAACAATGAGATTATAGAAAGTGTGAAAAAGCACATATTTATCCTTATACATACTTGATCAACAGAGTTAATTTAATTTATTAATTGATCATATATTTTCATAAATTATAATTAGGTTATTAAAGATATTCTCTACTGAGACTAATATTTTTTAAATTATTATAAAATTTTATAGCACGATAATTAAAAACGATTTAATAAGAAAATATCAAGTATGCATATATTTAATTGTAATTTTGTATTTAATTTATATTTTTATATTTATTTATATCGTAGACTTCGATACCTTTCAAATTTGTTTAGAAATCCTTTTCTCCAAATTCAAAAATAAAGCAAAATAATATGTTTTTTTATCATGCATTTTCCATAAAAGTTTCGCAACGTATATTTTCGAAGGAAGTTACGGAAAATACATTCCAACCATCGTCGGATACGTGATCCATTCGGTTTATTTCCGGCGAACATAGCTCACGACACACGTTATACCTTCGTTTCTCTTCATGCAACTGGTCCGGATATTTCACACGGAATATTTCGTCAAAATTTTGCGTAATGGTTGTCGTACTAAAAGTTTTCGATTGTTCTCTTTTCTTCGCTAGATTTTGCATTGTATTAACATATTTACATTCTGACGGTTTTTTGGCGCCAAACTGATTTCATATGAATAAAATAACGAGAAATAAAGAAAATGAAAAATTGTATTCGTTGGTGATCCCAAAATTCGTTTCAATATATTTCATTCAGTTACATCCTATAATATTATTATATATACATATGTTAAAGAATTTATTTAAAAAAAAAGATAGATTTAATTAAATATAAATTTTATAGAGAGAGACGCAAAGGATACGAGTAATAATATGTAAGAAATGAAATATAAAAAGAAACTAATAATTTTATTATTTTTAAAAATTTCTAGTAAAATGTACATCATATATTTTCATAAATTTTAGGTATGATGTTTAATATCAAGTTATCTAAGATAATTTAATAGATTTTTGACACGCCAATTTAATTGATATTTGATGCTATGAATATGTGACTATTTTTCAATACATTCCATTAGATCGAATTTTCTTAACGCGTCTGGTCGCATCGATCGATATCGGGAGC